ACTACTTCTCACTCAGTGAAGCTCTTTTCAGATTCAAAATACCTTTGGAGGAAATGTATTTTCAGATGCCAAGTAAACTGCATCATGGTGCGGGCGTGACCCCCTGCACTGAAATGGGATGGGACAGAAGGAGGTTCTTAAAGAGACAGAGGCCAATTTCAAGGTGTTTAGAAGAGGAAGTGATGAGAGAAGATAAGTTTATTTTCTATTTAAACATAAAAACAGCATTTTAATAACAACTAAAGGTGACAGCTACTTTATTATGGTATAGTATTTAAATGTATGCCTGAGCAACACATAATATTGCCCCTTTAAAGTACTAAAGTAGGTATTTAGTATTTTTTAGTAGTATTATGGAAAAGAAAGCCTGTTACATTTTACAGAAAATCTGATTTATAAACACAGCAAGTTAAAAAAACATTTTATAAACTCTTTCAAAACTGACTTGACAATTTTAAAAGATTTTAGTCTGAAAAGTCTGTAGTTTTAAAAATGAATTTTTTCCAATTAATTCCTTTAGAAATGCAGCCATATTATGAGTTTCTTTTTCCCATCTTTTAATTTGAAGTGTTTCTTGTTAAAATCTTAATCCCGTCTCTGTAACTTTGACAGATTTCTTCTTTGTGTTTTCAGTTCGCTCTTTGACTTTGCTGAGAAGCTCAGCTACCAGACGTCCGGTCAGCAGAGCAGCTCTCTTTCCTACCAGATCTCGTACCCCACCAGCCAGCAGCAAACATCTCTGATGACCTACCTGACTCCGTCCCCCTACCTCACCCCCAACCCTCCCGACTCCAACCCCACCTCCTACCTGACGTTTGGCCCTGGAGGAAGCTCCACCGGGGTGGTGACGTACTCCACAGGGGGTCAAACCTTCTTCCCTTCTCAGAGCACCAGACAGATCCTGCTGCAGTCAGCCGGTTACAACGGTGAGTCACAGAGAGCACATTAGATGTCACTGACAGAATATGTACGGAAACTGTAGCACTGGAGGAACAGCTGAAAACTAATACCAGCAGTTTGTTGCCAAACAGGTTTTAAAAAAAGACTGGAGAAGTTTTTTACACATGCAAAACTAAAGCAATTTTCAATCGTATTTATGTTCAGGCTCAAGTTCAAGCTACTGGATGCACAGACTACTTCATTTTACTTTATGCTGTTTTCACACTCCACAAGTTAATTTTGAAGAAAACAAACTGGTTTTGGTAGTTTGTTAGGAAAGTTTTGCTGTATTGAAGTGTGGTTTCCTTCAAAACAATTTGTAATAAAACAAGACAAACTAGTTAGTTCTTTAAAAGTGAAACATTAAAATGCTTCTGCTTTAGTCTTGACCGTGAAAGACAAACTAGGCAAAGAGCACCTTTGTTCAGTTTTATAAGAGGGGCATTGCTGTTTAGTGTGCCATTAATCAATGGATGGATTTGAATAAAGCTGATAGTCATTAGATCTACAGCTGATTACATTTTAGATTCCATCCAGTCCAAAATGCCCACCACAGCTGACGCAAAATAAACATTAATATTCACAAACACAACGTCTACAAGTCGGTTTAACAGATTCTGAACTAAAATGTAATGTTTGTAGCTGAGAGCGGTTTTTAACAAACTCATGAGATGTTTTTAAGATTTGCTGACATCCTTCCAGGAATGCCTTTCATTTTGGTCTTRAACATCCTCGTGATTCTTACATTTTTACGTATTCACAAGTGATGAAATCCAAAAAGAGAATTGTTGCATTTGTTTGTTTTAGCCACTTTCATAAATTTCCTTGGAGTATAAAATGTGTGGCTGGACCGGAGGATGAAGCTGGATGACAGCTGTGGTGCAGTAAGAGATTTGGACGGACCAGCAACAGCTGCTGGGCTTAATGAGAGACGTAAAATGACACAAAGATACGGGGAGTCGTTACGGGCGCACAGATAATGAGAACCATGAAGATCTGCTAGTCATTTTTATGGCACTTTTCTATTTATTTGGTGTCAAGTGAGGCAAGCTGGTTCTGTACGGTGATGTGGAAACTGCAGACGGCTGATTGGTCTGAGAGAATCGTTACCTGTAGGCATGAACGGCACAGACTTTGAAGTAGCACACTGACGCACTTTTGTCTTTTGAAGTTGTTTGAGTTTGAACTAACGGTTAAATCTTCAAGCAGTTTTTTACAGTCTGTTCCTTTTATTTGTGTGGGCTTCCTTTTTCAAACAGGTGGGATGCCAGCGTACCCGTCATACCAGTGGGGTAACATGTACAGTCAGGCAGCCCTGCACCAGCAGGCTCCACCCACCTACCCCGCCAGTTTGGGGTCTTCACGAGACCACCAGCCTCCTTCCACCTCCAGCCATCCTCTGCCTTCGTTCTTCCCACAGGAGGATCAAGGGTCCCACGTGAACTCGCAGCAGTCGTCGCACACTCAGACGCACACCGAGACCACCAGCACCACCACCACCACCGTCCTCCCGCCCGTCTCAACTCTGCGGCCCCCCTATCTCAGAGCAGAGACCACTCAGAAMAAGGTTTCATCCCTGCTTTCTTCTCAGGTCAGCTCTCCGCCTACAGAAAGCCCTCCAGTGCCCTCTTGTGTCAAAATTGAGTATGACAGCCCTCGAGAGATTCACAGTCACTTCCACTGCGATTTCTCTCCCATACATTTTTGAGTTCATCCTGTGTGTGTGTGTGTGTGTGTGTGTGTGTGTGTGTGTGTGTGTGTGTGTGTGTGTGNGTGTGTGTGAATTATTTGTAAATACAGTAAGTGTGGATTTTTCTATATTTTCTATTTGTATTAAGATGTTCTCAGTGGAAATGTTAACACGAGACTGTTGGGCTTCATAAACCTTCCCTCTAATAAATGTTCATTGCTCATTTACTTTTCCTGCTTTTACCTTTTAGTTTATTTATTTATTACAATTTTTTACACATTTTTAATGAAGACAATTTGTCTTGGAGACAGTAAGAGCACATTGTTTTTTCTCAACAATTTGTGAGAAACAAACATGTTTTATCTGAACATCATATGGGTATTAATAAAAAATAATGGAAAAAAAGATATATTAAAGTGCAGAATTGTTTAAATAAAAGTGAAATTTGTTTTAATAATGATTCCCCTAACATTAAACAACATGAACACATGGATGTTGTCCCCCCCTGATATTTTCAGTGTCAGGAGGAAGTTTTTGGTCCAGGTCATGAACAAATAAAAAGGCTGTCGTACTCAAAGCTTTGATTTCAATAGTGCATCTCAGACATTTAAATTTAATCACATGGCTTTCCTGTGAGATAGTTGATAATGTCCCAGAAGGCTTAAACTGGGCCAGATGTGGAAATAAAAAATAGAAGTTGGGCAGATCTGTATGTTCAGTTTAGTAAAACAAAGTTATGGTTTTTCCAGCTCTGTAGATTAAAGACTGCAGAGCTGGAATCATGTTTCTACAAGTTGGGCAGCATAGCGGAGCAGTTAGAGGACCTTGTGTCTTGAGTCTTTGTGTGAAGTTTGCACGTTTTCTTTCTTTTTTTTTAAATTATTTTAATTAATCACGAAACAAAAAAAGGAGTTAGCTGTGGAGTAACTAAACTGTCATCAGGTGTAAATGGCTGTCCTGACTCAGTCTCTGTGCGGTCCTACCTGTGCAGGTATGCCCCACCTCTCACACAGCAGCTGCCTGAAACCCTGCATGGAAAAGCTGATAAAGATGAACACGTTCTCTCCATGCATGTGTGTGTTTTCTCTGGGTACTACGGTTTCCTCACAGACCAAAAAACTTGACTGTTAGGCTAATTGGTAACTAAACTGTGCCGAAGTGAGAGAGTAAATGGTTGGTTGTCTTGTTTGTCTCCATGTGTCCCTGTGATGGACTTGACCTGCCCAGGGTGGACCCCGCCCATCACACAGTGACCCTGAAAGGAAGAAGTGGGTAAAGATAGTGGATGCAAACTGGTAAAACCTGCAAAAAAAAGGCCTTGAGCATGAACAAAGACCACGATGGATTAGCAGTTAGCACTGCTGCCTCACAGCTGGAGGGTCCTGTGTTCAAACCCCAGCTTGGAACTGAGGTCCTGCATGGAGTTGTCATATTTAGGCTGCTGTCTGGTGCAGGCCTGCCTTTAAAAGAAGATCAGTGATATTTATCTGGTTAAATAATTAAAACAAAGTTGATTAACACTGTCATGATCCAATCAAATGAAATATTCTGACACCATTTTCATGTTTTCCTTTRCTACATGAAATAATTTAAGTTAAACTGCTCCTTTTWGCGTTCAGTGACTTGATCTAACGTGGATGTTCTGTATCGTTTCACTCAGAAACCCTCTTAAGGAAGAGAAACTGTTGATCGCAGTCCAAGTATTTGCTGCCTACATGGTAGGATTCATTTATTGTCATATGCAGGTTAACAAGAGTCAGCAATGCAATGAATTTCATAGGATGAAAAGAAGCACTTTGACTTGCTATAAAGAATAAAAATACAGAATACAAAATTCAGTTTGCAGTAGATGCACAAAGAGTAAATAAACAAAAATTTAGGGTAATATATACAGTGCAAAGTCAAAATGTCGAACAGCAAATAACTAAATAGCAAAGAAAACAAAATTTGGGTAACAGAAATAACAGAACAGTGCAGTCAGGGTGCACAACATACAGTATATACATATGGTACTTCACCGATGATAGTAGTGGTTATGATATACATGTATTCTAGAAAATGTGTATTGCACATAGCATGTAGTGCACAGTTTGTGTATTATTGCACAGGTAAGAGTAACATGAGTCAGTCTGGTAGTGCCAGACACCACAAAGCAGGTCAGAGCTGCTCAGGCAGATGAGGTGCACGTCGTATAGTTCAGTTTTTTTATATATTTGTCAGCAACTAACTTCTGAATTCAGCTGTGAGTAGAAACTGACAAGAACCATCACAAATCTGGAGTTGTGATAAATCTAAATAAAACTGAGAAACTGAAATAATGCCAACGACCAATTTAGCCCCGACTCGTAGCTGTTTGGTCGCATGCGTGGACCACGTGCTCAGGTCTAAAGGACCATACCTGGGTGTTATTTTTTATACGTCCCCCCATTGGGGGGACGGGGTGTTGAGTTCTGTGACAGTCACTAATCTGAAGGGGTAGACAGAAATAGAGGCATCCACACACGAAYCAATGATGTATCCCAAATCCTTAATCTGTGTTGCCATCTGCCGTGTTCACACACTTAATGCAGTTTCCGCTCTGTTTATTCTTAGTATGCAAGTCAGCGACGGGGGCATGTGGAAACCAAATCCCTCCATGAATCCCCGCCTCTAAGAGCTGAAAGCTTTTTTATTATTTTTTTCTTTAAACTACAAAGAGCATCAGTTTTCACTCCATAGTTCAGGTAAAACAAAAAACAAAAGTTTCTTGCTGCGACTCCACTTAATATTCCTCGTTCATAGTTGTGCAATAAAACTGAGCTCAGATGATAGAAGAAGAAAGTATTTGATGGGGGGGAGAGGAGGAGGTGGCAGGGACTGAGGGAGAAGATAAAAGCTGAGGGAGACTGAGGCAGTCTGTTGGTCGGGGAACAAGGGAGGAGAGGAGCTGTTGCTATGGGAGGAGAGGATGATGATGGGTGGACTCTGCCAGAAGGCGTGGGAGGGAGACGAGGATGGCGATGAAGGCGGAGTGTGTTGGTAGCACAGAGGGCTCTGGGGCGAACAGAACCATCGGTTATGTAAGCGCCGTGTTTGGTTCTTTTCTTTTAAGACTCTCTCTCTCTCTTCCCTGTGCTGGCTGCTGAGCTGTTATAGTTGGCACAGGAAGAGCAGCGTAAACACACAAATTCACTCCCGCATAAAAACTTCATTTGACTGTTTTTCTTGTACAAACACACACACCTCATCAGGTATGAAAACTCCATTCAGACTCTCTGCAGCAATGTTTTCACTCAGGTTTTTTTTTTTCCTGGTCTTGGTATACGTACTCTTTGGTGTGCCTTTTCAAACTCTTTCATATTCACGTCTCAGTGATCTCCCTCATGTGACTGAAGAGAGCTCCTTGTCGGCTCCACTGTAATTATTTTTCCAGGACTTCCCTGGTGTGAACAGAGGGAGCTCACAGCACAGCTGGAGAAGGCGTGTGTGTCCGAGCGCAGGGACGGGATGCTTCTGTCCACCCCGCTCGCCGCCGCGTCAATATTAGCTCAGTATTCTGAGATTTGGAGAAAGGCAACTTGTTTCAATATTTATGGATGTGGTCGAACACGAAGTCCTTTGCGAGTCTCTCCAAAGCTCTGCGACAGAACCCAAGAAAACCAGCTTGGTTAAATGAAGAAATGAGGTTTATTGATATTGGTGAAATCGGTTTATTAATAAAACAGATCATGGAGATCCTGCAGGTGTTTGGCTGCTTCAAATAGTTCGTTGGGTTTTGCGGAGGAGATAACGAAAGCAGCACCTGATTGAGCTATAATAACACATTCAGATGTTTTTAGTAGAAAGTCCAGATTTAAATATTTAAACTTATTTAAAAGGCTTCACACCACACAGGGTGACTAAAACTGACACAGGAGTTTGTTTTAGCCTGTTTTGCTCAAACCAACAAGCAGAACTGTGGTGATGGTTTAAATTAAACCCCACAGAGTGGTTTGACTTGGCAGGACAAGGAGGCTTACAGGAACATTTCCTTTTATTAGTTTATAATGTTTAAAATTGACAAATATGCTGCATCTTTTTTACTTGATTTCTATTTTTTTCTGTGAGCAGGTAAATAAACAGTGAGTGGAAAAAAGGATGAATTATTTATATTTGACAGCAATAACACATTTGAACCAGGAAATAGGGATGTTTACCTTTTTACAGCGGGTAAAATAAGTATTGAACACGTCACCATTTTTCTCAGTAAATATATTACTAGAGGTGCTAATGACATGAAATTTTCACCAGATGTCGGTAACAACCCAAGTGATCCACACATACAAAGTTGATACAAATGAAGTTATTTGTAATAATGTGGAATGGCACAGGGAAAAAG